GGTTGGGGGAAGGAGGAGAGGGGGGGGGGAAGGGGCAAGCAGTCCGTAGGGGCTTTATATCGAGAGCATAAAAGGCTCGTCGGCGCCCGGGGGCTGCTGCCCGGCCGTACGCAGTAGTGCAGCAGACTGGTGCGGTGCAGCGTGGTGCGATCCGACTCATCAGAGTGATGCGGTCACTGTGACGTCATTTCCATGACAACAACTGGTTTAGGTGTCCACAGTGTGTTACGCAAGTGAAAACCCCCCTCGCTGCAGCCTCCCCGGAGCAGCAAGTTGCCATGTACACCGTCCCTGCTCCTCTTCTCTCTCCTCCTGAAAGCTACCCACGTTGCGCTTTTGTGTGTCCCATCGTTGGCGACCTGCCGATGACGTTCCCGCGTCGGGGAGAGAGGGAGGGAGGGCGACGGGGAAGAAGGGGAGGCCGTCGACCATGTAACGAATTGTCCTCCTCGGCGGACACCATAGAGGCGGCGGTCGCCACCGAGGGTCGCGTATTCGTCCTTTGACGTGCGTCTCATGGCCTTGCCCCCCTCCTCCTCCCCGCTGACTCTCGTGGCCCCCTACCCGCGCCTGGCCCTTGGCCCCCGCCGTGTGTCGGCTCATGACCATTTGGGGGGGGGGGGGACCCCGGGGGAATGTGCGCAACCTCTTTGGCGCCGATTGTCTTACAGTGCGGCGATACGCGCGCGTTGGGGGAATGGGCGCGGAATAGCCTCGCTGAGTAGGAACATGAGCGGCATGGGGCTCGCGCTGAGAGTTGGAGAGGAGGGGGGGGGGGTCCCCGGCGGTATTGGCGGGATATTGTGATGGCCCGCCACGCCACGGTCGCACAATGTTGCGTCGATACGGAGTGGCAGCGCCGGACAGACAGACAGACAGACGGCAGACGGATAGATGGCCGGGTTGGGCCTGTGATTGGAAGCGGGCGGCATGGCACGCAGGTCAAGCCCACCGGGCGCACCGCGGTCTCGGGCCTTCATTCCACCCACCCTCTGGCCCGCTTGCACCGCGCAGTCGTGCCTCTACGTTTACACACCGCCCGCTGGCTGGCGGGTCGGTTTTTGTGATGGCTTTTTTTAAACCCCGGCGTTGGTTGGTGTGTGTGTGTGCGTGAGGCTGGACCGGTGCGTGCGACCGGCTGCTGGGGCGCTCTATGGGGCGTGTCGACGGCCCGGGGCCCCGCGGCGGCGCGCGGCACCTCCCGCGTGTAAACACTGAAGGGGGCGCCGGTAAGACGAGCCCCGCGCACATGTGTCTGGAGCAGGACGAGGCGCCCGCAGGGTGCGTCGCCCTGGCCGGCGGCGGCGCCCAGCGGCCCGCGGTTGTGGCCGCGCCGGTGTGCGAGGGGCGGAGGAAAGGGAGGGGCCGGGGGCGGCTAAATTGAGTGCGAGCGCGCCGTGCGTGCCGCGGCGGCCCGCCGTGCCCCCCTCACCCCCCTCGTGCCCCTTCCCATCACCATTCCGCCTTTCAGCCCGTGCAGCCGCGCGCGCACACCGCGGCCCGGGGCTGGGCGGGGCGAGCGCGTAGCTTGACAGACCCATCATGCATCTTGGTAGTCGGCCAGGTCCCGTCTCCTTCCCGACGCTGCCGCCCCCGAGCCCTTTCCGAGTACGTTATGTAGGTCGGACGTTTCGGCTCCAGCAACGCCAGGGGGTTGATGGAGCTGGCCGTGTGCGCGGGCCGCCGTGTAGCTCGTGTCGTGGGCCGCCGTGGGTGACGCGGGCCGCCGTGTAGCTCGTCGTGTCGCTGGCCGCCGTGTAGCTCGTCGTGTGGCTGGCCGCCGTGTAGCTCGTCGTGTGGCTGGCCGCCGTGTAGCTCGTCGTGTCGCTGGCCGCCGTGTAGCTCGTCGTGTGGCTGGCCGCCGTGTAGCTCGTCGTGT